CGGTGGTGTCGGTGGTTAATTATTTCCGCAGTTTGGTCTTTGCGGCATCTTGCTGTTACGGAACAGAAAGATGTTGAGTATGTATTGTATTTAAGTTGGGAATTTCGTGAGTCGATTTTGCATTTAAGTGATTCCATATATTTACACCAAACAATAAGAGTATAAAACACATAGCAGATAACAACATCACGAATAAACACATAATATTTTCCATTAATAATATCCGTACTTTGATACATGAAAATTTGCTCGAAAGAGCATACATAAGGGTACAAAGTTCGACAGCATAACGACTCTATGAGTAGTGTAATCACTTAAACATGGAGTCGGTAGTACATAATGTGGCAAACATAAGAGAACATAGCACTAGTAGGGTAAAACTGGTCCTAAACACACTAAGAGGCGCCCAACGGTGGTAGCGAAATCATATTCCAAAATGTTGTGCCAACAACTAGGCCATCTCAGTCATCTCTCCAATGACTTCATCCCTTTCTAGTTCAACCTGCACCGCTCGTGCTTCCGTGGCAAATAGTTGTTGCCGTAGTGCGGCAGCCTCAGCCTCCGGAGAACGATCCTCTCCCACGGGATTCCCTAGTGGGGCAGGGTGGTCCTGATGTGTCTCGTCGGTAGGTGGTGTGACGGAGGCTTCGTCTGTGTCTCTTTCCTCCTCCATGTCATCATCGGTCCCATCAAACTCGTATTCCGTGTCCGTATACTCGTCGGGCCCAATGCCGTGTGCTGCCCCTTGTCCTTCCTCGGGGTCGTCTTCAATCATTCTGTGGTCCACCAAGACCTGGTGAAACTGAATGCCTTAATGCTCCTCTTACATGGTGACTGTGATGAGGAACACGTAAGGAGGGTATATAAAATAAACTATTATTATTCCTAAGATATTTTTAGTTGTTATAAAAATTGGGTTGATGTTCTCCTCTTGTTTAACAAGAGGGTATGCCTTAGGTTTACTGACCATCGCGATCGCCCCAGGGCATGTGATAGTTGTATTCTGAAGAAATGTAGTTGATCAGGCTACATTCATCCCTAATACAACTGTAAACAATCCTGGCTTAACCGAGACGTCAGGTTTTCCCCATCATCTTCTTTGATTTGTTTATTATGTTTATTTTTCTAAGTCGCACAAGTAAGAGTGTTTATTATTATGTTTTACTCATTTTGTTCAGAGTTATTTAGTCCCTCTTTGGGTTTATAGTTGCATATCAATGTGTGGTTAGATATGCCAGTTCACTATAAACAGAGCTCTGATACCAACCTGTCACACCTCCAAACCGGACGGCGGAAACGTCTGAGGGCTCGTGTGACTTAAATTGAAATATCATCACAATGAATATACATGAAACATAACATAAACACCACCATGCATTAATACATTACAACCGTCGTTGTTCACATCAAGTACATTGTCTAAATATTACATATCCATAGCATAAATTGTTTGAGAGTCACAAAACATAACATCCTAACACACTTGGTAATTTTCTTCAGCTTATCTGTTACCTGAGAATACAAGTTATTTTGAAAACGATCAACACATATAATGTTGGTGAGTTCATAAGCAGGTTTCATATGAAAATGTTTTGTGTAGTTTGTAGAACCCAAAAAATACGATATTTTATGAAATGGCAATATTTTACGAAATAGGTGTGATGATCCATAAGTATATGCGTGAATGATTTCAAAACGTGTAAAAGTAGTATGTTTCTCATAATGAATTCTTGTATTATAGTTATCGAAAGTAAAAGTGAATAATGTTCTTCCCCCGGAAAACCCGATGTTCTCCGATATAAATAGTATGATCGTTTTGTATTATTGTATCGTCACAACGAATGAATATGATTTCCCATGATTACTTATATGGTATTGGATCTCTATGTGAGTCGTTATAACCATGCTTAATAATGACTATTTCGTCTGTCTTGGCATTCTAGTGAAAGCCGGTATTGAATTAAGATTTTGTCACCCTAGACTGGCCGAGTCTAAGTGTAGCGAACAGCTTAGTTATGGGGGAGTCACCCCCGTATAGATCTATACACAAACTCTCGCTCTCCCTCATGAGACTTTGATTATAACTACAGACTACGACCGACACTTATTGGTGTCACCCGTTATTACTCACTAAATCCAAATGAAATTGAATAACATTGTTTAACAACCTGATTTATGTTTACTTGAATAAAAGGTAAGCCTAACAGACGAAGAGAAGAGGACTACGGGGGCCCACTAATCACGTATGTTATTATAGGCTGTCGAGTATGCGACGGACACGTTAGCCCATCACGCATATGATTGATTTGGACCTTACTAGCAATGCAAATGGGCCACTACGGCCCAATAGCATGTAAAAGTCATTAAGGGTCCATTAGGATGTAATTGGGTCACCTGAGGCCCAATAAACATATGTAATTATATTGGGCCCAATAATCATGATATTGGGCCACAAAGACCCAATAACACGAACAGAAGATTTTTGGGCCCAGTCACTAAATCACTTATGTTTTATCGAGTTTAAGTTCGTATTGTTGGTATTTGTTGTATGCTAAATGTTTATTTGCAATGTTAACAAAAAAACATCTTAACGTTTGATTTATAACGAAGCTTTTCGTTATATATATATATTTTTAAAGCCATGCGTTATAAACTTGATATTTTTAGCCCAAACATTTATAATTGTTTATTTGGCCCAAAAACATTTAGATTGACCATTGTGACCCCCCCTTTTTACCGGACCCTTTCCATAAAATGGCACTTTTAGTCCCCTTTTATGAAAATTGACATTTTTGGTCCTTAAACCATTTTTCTTGACATTTTCCACCCAAACATTATTTGAATAGTAATTTCAGTCCAAAACTATTGCATTTGTCATTTCCAACCTTTATTTGTAAAAAGTTTACATTTTTGGCCCAATTTCCGTAAGTTTTGCAATTTTGACCCCAAAATCAAAAACTTTGCATTTTTAGTCCAATTTAGTAATAAAATCATTTTCAACCCCTGAAATAGTTTATTTACGTTATAGACTCATAGTTTGTTAAGTTTTACATTTCAGCCCCTCAAAACTTCATTTTTTCGCAACCTTGGGCCCAAAAACTCGTGAGGCCCAATTTAAAGCCCAATAAGCTAAAATTTATGTTATTTTCATAAAAACTCGTGACCCTTTGAGAAGTATTATTTTCATAAAAATCAGCTTTTATACAAATAAATACCTTATAGCCCTCATAAAACCGATAATTATCAATTTACCACCCAATCTTTGTTATTTTTGCAAAATGACACTTGTAAAGTTCTTTGGCTTTGTTTTTCACTTTTTAAACTTACGGACCCTTAGATCTATGATGTATGTTGTTTATTATGTTTTTTTTTATGATTCTTTCACCCTTTTTGCTATAGATCTCGAAATATCACAGGTATTACATATTATCACAACCAAAAACTAAAGAAAACACACATAACATGCAAACACACATAGATCATCACATAATACTTGTATTCTCCCCCAAAAACAAGTAAAAACCGAAAACAAGGGGGTATGAACTCACCTTGCTTAGTTGTTTCGGTTTTGAAGAAGATGTGAAGAAGATTTTTGGTCCTAGCAACACCTTGAGTGGATTTTGAACTTGGATGGGTTCACTAGAGGGCATGATCACGAAATTAGTGTGGTAAGGAGGATGAATGAGTTCAAAAGAAAGTATGCTACTTAGATTTGTGAGATCTTACCACTAGAGTGCAACTTGATGTGATTTTTGGTTGAAACCTCCTTGAAATGCTTCTAGTTCTCGAAAATTCTGATGAGAGGGGAGAGGTGTTTCTTGAATGTGTTTATACTTAGAGAGAGTTTTGAAATGGTTTGTGTGGTGTGTTTCCTTCCTCGGCCATGAAGAAGAGAGAGAGGAGAGAAAGAGTTGAATTGATGGATGCATGGGAGTGTGAGATTGTATGAATACATGGTGTGTAATCTCCTAATTATCCCTTAAACAAAAATGAGGTGTCAAGGCATTATTATCTCCAGTATTCTCTTTTCTTTTTTTTTATATGTTGGGCCGAGGAGGGAAAGAAGGAGATGGAATGGGCCTTTAATGCTTGGTTCTAATAATAGGAGGCCCATTTTGATGGTTTTTGGCCCATTGGGCCCTTAGGAGGGTTTACGACCCAATTAGAATGAAAGAATAGGTTGCATGGCCCATTGAAGTTTATTAGGTTTGTTATGGCCCGATAAGGCCCATTAAGGTAAACCAATTCATTTTGGATCCATTATGGCCCAAAATGTTAAGTTTCATGGAGTGGGTCAATTAGGGCCCATTTAAGGGTCTTAGCCCAAAATAGTCAAATTGGAAGCTTATTGGTCCATTAGGCCCAATAAGGAATCCTAGTCCATAATGGACTAAACCGGGATTTTTAGGGTTTCCAATCTTTTGTTGACCATTTGAAGTGTTTGTATAGGGTGTTTGATGGAATGTTGTTGTCATTGAATAAACATCATGCATAATTTCAAGTTTTAGCCACAAATGTTACCCTTGTTAATGTTTACAAAACCGTAGAATTCCTAGTTGTGACAATACCTTAGTTAGAAATTATTTCAGATGGTGGGACAGCCGGACATCCAACTATTGACCGCCGAATCGCCGACGCTAGAAGACGAGTACTCGAGAAGAGGTCGGTAAGGAGAAGGAGGAGACCAATAGATTAACTGATTATGAATCGATAAATTATTAATACTATTGACGACGGTGAGTCTAACTACCGTCGTCCAAATCTGAGTCGTTTAAACTCCATGTACTTTCAATCTAGGCCACATAAACTCCATTTGGTGGTTTTTTGCAGTTCATCCCATCGCCTCCTGCTTCTTCTCCCCACGATTCCTTCTCTACCCACGACTGCGTCCATGCCGGTAACTGCTGCATCAGTTCCTCCTCATCCGCCTATAAATAGATGGTTCGTTGTTAGATGTTTATAGCTTTCACTTGGTAACAATAGTTGCTTCTGTTGATCCAATGGCTTCCAATTCGTCTAACATACCTTCACTTAAGGTAAAAATTCAATTGTTTATTCGATTTCGATTCTTTGTATTTCATTGCATTTGTTTGTTTCAATTGGTAAAAAGAATTGATTCGTTTGATTTTATGGTTTACAACTTCGTATATTGTTTCTTTACATAAGGTAACCTTATTGTCTCTGTAACCGATTCCTTTGTTTTTAGTCCATTGTATAGTCAAATTCGATATATAATTGAAGTTAATGTTCATATATTTTTCAAATTTCGATTTCATATGTATTAACAATTGTGTTGCGTATACTTTTTATGTAAAAGTTTGAAGTTGTTGCTGGAAAAGTCAATCCACCGTCAGAGGTATCAAAATCGACAGTTGATCCTAATGATTCCAATTCGTCTGACATACCTTCACCTAAGGTAAAAATTCAATTGTTTAATTGATTTTTGTTCTTTGTATTTCATTGCATTTGTTTGTTTCAATTGGTAAAAATAATTGATTTGTTTGATTTTATGGTTTGCAATTCGTCAATTGTTTCTTCACATAAGGTCAACGTTTTTGTCTCTGTAATCGCATCCTTTGGTTTTTACTTGATTGTATATTCAACTTCGATGTATAATTGAAGTTAAAGTTCAATCATGTTTCAAATTTCGATTGCATATGTATTAATAATTGTGTTATGTATAATTTTTATCTAGAACTTTGAAGATGTTGATGGAAAAGTCAATCCACCATCAGAGGTATCACAATCGACATTTGATCCTAATGATTCCAATTCGTCTGACATCTGTTCACCTAAGGTAAAAAATTCACTTTTTCAATCGATTTCTATCCTTTGTACTTCATTGCATTTGTTTGTTTCAATTGGTAAAAAGAATTGCTTCGTTTGATTTTATGGTTTGCAATTTGTCTATTGTTTCTTCACATAAGGTGAACTTATTGTCTATGTAATCGATTGATTTGATTTGTAATTCATTGTATATTCAACTTCGATGTATAATTGAAGTTAAATTTCATTTATGTTTCAAATTTGGATTTCATATGTATTAACAATTGTGTTCTTTATAATTTTTATGTAGAAATTTGAAGATTTTGATGGAAATGTCAATCCACAATCAGAGGTATCAAAATCGACATGTCACTCTGATTCTGAGAGTGTTGAAATAATCGACTTCAGTATTCACTTCAATCCATACAAATCCTAGTTGGAGAGGGTGATTTCGGAAGAGGTAAAGATTTTATGAGTTTTGTTTTCAGATAGATATGCATGTAAAGTTCTTTTTCTCTTTCAGGTTTCTTTAATTGCCAAAGAAGAGGAGAAGATGTCAAGAAAAGAAAAAAGGAAGTTGGCTTTGTTATGTTGGAAGCGGGAAGAAGTTGTAGATCTATGTGAAGATGAAGAGTTGGGTGTGGATCTGCCTTCATACACCTGAAAAAGAAAGTGAAAGTTTCCATTCAACCTCGAAATTGAGTCATGAAACTTTTTGATGAATCAGATGTTGATGAGTGATTTATGATTAACTTTCTTAATTTTTTTGTTAGTTGTATTGTTCTTTTGCATTTGCTGCAGTTAGTTGTTATTTGTTTTGATGAATTAATGTATTTAAGTTTTTAAATTGTAGTAAATTGTTGTTTATGTTATTTCAATTCACTTGCTATCAATTAAAGTAACCTACTTTCATTATCAACTATCTTTAGCAGCTTTTATTTCCTTTATTACTTTTTACCCCTCATGCATCATTTATGAATTTGGACCATTTTACCCCTATTACCCTAAATTGTATTGTAATTGTCATGGATAGTGTTGGTAATACATCTCTTCATTCAAGTGACTTTGATTTACCCTCAACAAGCCTCAATTTTCAGAATGTTTACTTATAAACGTATTTTGTTATTTTTATTTGTTTATTTTAGGAAACTGGTAGAGCAGGGAGGGATGGGCTTGCTTCTGAATGTTTACTTTACTTTAGGCCTGCTGAGGTCACAAAACAGGTATATAATGTTGGAGGGTATTTCTGTCATTTAACCTTTGTATCAGCGCCAGGGGCAAAACGTCATAAAATGAAAAGAAACAGGAAGGTTCCTGGGAAGTACATGGAAAATCTACAATACTCTGAAGCCAGCATCAAAAGATAATTTCCATATAGAGCAAAACCTCATAGCACGTAAGGAACAGTCCCAAGGGTAAAATGGTCTAATCTCTGAACAAGCTGTTTGAAGGGAACCCACAGGTGACTATCAAATGGCACTTAAGAAGTTTTGAATTTAGAGTTTTGTAATTTTTTTGATTGTAGACTTATAGTTGTAAGAATTTGATAATCAATATCCTGAAATAATGCATGGTGAGTTAATAGGGTTGCATAAATAACTATAAAAATTATTACTTTTTTAGTGTGTTTTTCAAATTCTTTCAAAAAAATTCAGATAACCTTTTAATAATGACAAAATAAGCAAAATTTTCTTCTGTGGAAGTGAGTAATGAGTTTGTGGAGACAGAATATTACAAGGATCATACTAGTGTTGACAAGTAACATCACATACTATAAGTTATAATTTCCCTTTTTTTATAATTATTTAATATATTTCCCTTTTTAGATGACAAATTGACAAATTGACCAGTCTTGTGGCTTAGAATAAATTGATTACTGAAACTGTGTTTGTTAATTGTAGTGATTATCTCTTCCTTTTGTTAACACCAAAAATAACAATATTTGCAACATTGCTTCACTGGTTTCACTCCTTGACACAACAAGAGGGTAATAATTAAAGGTTTTTTTTAACATGTATTCTCTGTTATAGGAGAAGTAATGCTTTAGTTTCATCAGGACTTGATTTTTAATAAACCTAATAAAAAATTTTGGTGAAGAAAAACAGTTAGAAACCGAAAAAATCAAAATAATGTAATTTTTTGTACGATTATAATGGATTCCTAATTCGTTTTAATGATTTTGGACCGTTTTACCCCTACTTGCATTTTCAGTGTTTTTGCTTAAAGGTAATTTTGATTTTTTGTTGTAAAAAAAACTAATAATAAAAATAAAATCATTTAACCTATTTTTTACCTACTAAATTCAATTAAGTATTTACAAAGGCTTACAAATGTAAGAGATGGAGCTGTTGTTAGTTTCATATTCTTCAGATCCCAGCCTTAACCTAATTCAGTGGCGAACATATTTGGTTGCTAGCAAGATTCCAACTGCTCTTGACATTGCAGTTTAGTTTCGATCTAAGGACGGTGATCTTTGGAAGTGTATATGTGTTGATCAATATATGAAGTGTGCTATCATTGAATAAAACGAGTTATACCATCATAAAAAAAAATTATGTTATTTACCTATTTAAGCAATGTACTTTGAATTATACCATCATACTTTAATTGTTAATTCATAATTACAATAAATATATATATATATATATATATATATATATATATATATATATTATATATATATATATATATTTCTTATTGTAACAGAGTCTTATTTTGTTTTAATGATTTTGGACAATTTTACCCCTCCTGCATGGTTAATGATTATGGACCGTTTTACCCCTCCTCCCCCCATTTGTATTGAAATGCTTATGTGTTGCCAACTAAAATATAAATAAGAAAAATACATATTTTTTTAAAAAAAAAAACTGATGCTATATTTTAAAGTACAGTGCTTAAATAGTTAAATCTTTTACATTTATTTACAATACAGATGTGGTATAACAATGATTGATCATTTGTTGGAGATGTACAGTCGTTTTATATATCTATTATTCTATATTTCATCATGACTCCAGACAGTTACAATCCGTAAAATGAAAATACATGTAATCTTTTTGAACGATTATAACGGATTCCTAATTCGTTTTAATGATTTTGGACCGTTTTACCCCTCTTCCATCATTTTTGATTTTGGACCGTCTTACCCCTACTTGCATTTTCAGCGTTTTACCTTACAGGTCGTGTTGACTTTTTGTTGTAAAAAACACAAATAATAAAAAAATTAATTATGTTATTTTTCTTATTTAAGCATTATACTTTCAAATATAGCATCATACTTTAAAATTAAATTCTTATTTACAATAAAAAAAAATATGTTATTTTCTTACTGTAACATATTCCTAATTCGTTTTAATGATTTTGGACCATTTTACCGCTCCTGCATCTTTTATGATTTTAGACCATTTTACCATCATCCCCCATTTGTATTGAAATGCCTATGTGTTGCCAAATAAAATATGAATAACAAAAATATCATACTTTTTTTTGAAAATATGATGCAATATTTGAAAATACAATGTTTAAATAGTTAAATATTTTAACTTTATTTACAATACAGTTGTGGTATAACTATTATTGAACATTTGTTGGTGATGTCCAATCGTTTTATATATCTATTATTCAATATTTCATCATGACGTGAATCCAGTTAGAATGTGTAAAATCAAAACACATGTAATATTTTTGTATGATTATAATGGATTTCTATTTCGTTTTAATGATTTTGTACCATTTTACCCCTACTGCATAAATTTTGATTTTTGACTGTTTTACCCCAAATTGCATTTTCAGTCTTTTAGCTTATATGTCATTCTGATTTTTTATTGAAAAAAACACAGATAATAAAAAAATCATTTAACCTAATTTTGACTTACTAATTCAATTAAGCAGTTACAAAGGCTTAAAATGTAAGAAATTTGATGAGTAAAGTCAAATGATACGTGTTACTTTTTTATTTTGCTGTTTTTACCTATTATTTGTTCAATTAAAGGTTAGTTATATCAATGAAAAAAAGGGTTGAGGGCACTGTTAACATTGGTAACGTTATTGGAGTTTAAGAACCATGTGATTAAAGTTGAGGGGTAGTGGGTATAACTTTTTCTTATATAACCCACTACACCAGATATCCTTTTCACATTCATTCCTACTATTTAAATGAATTAAATGAACTATGTCCATTTTATAACATCGAAACATTCTCTGTCTCCATTCGTTTCTTCATTCTGCTTCAATTAGTCGGATTTTCTGAAATTGGAACACATAAAAGGGTGATACAAGGTTTCAACTTCATATTTAACTATTACTTTCTCTTTTTTTTTAATGTTTGTTTATATGTTGGTAACTGTTATATGCCACAAAAAGTATATGATTTTTGTGAAATTGGATAAGTTGGATCGTTTAACCATTGAAATATTGTATTCCGTTTTCAACTTTATTTAGTATGTGTGTTGATTTTGTTGGTTTGTTGGTAAATAAAACGTGTTACAGAAAACAAAATCGGATTATTTTGCCACATTTTGTTTGTTCTTGAGTAAAAATGTAGATGAATTTATGTTTTAATTTATTTTGATGTAAGATGTTTTGCTATACAGGTTATCTTTTGCTTTCTGATATCTGTCAACACAAACAAATTCTCTTTCGGTATGTAATTCTCTAAAACAATAGATCATCTTATGTTTTGTTTCTTATTCAATAGTATTAACATGTGTAATAGATTATATGGTTTAGTTTTTTTTTAAATTTAGTATTATACTAATATGAAATTTAACAAGTATTTCATTGGGGTTTACCAAATTAATAAGAAAGTTGTTAATCATATGATCTAATAGATTTTAAACCTAATAAAGCAAATCTAAATTGGTTATTAGATGATTTATACAATTGTAATTATAAATGTATAAATAAATAACATCTTAATATGTAATAGCATCGTATTATTATATTTATCATATTAGATTATCGTTTCATAAGCCTTATTTAATTTAACTTACCAATGTTTATAGAGGATGGAGGGTATGTAATGTTGAAAGTTTTTCAATCTTTCGATTCCAATATACTGGAGTTTCATATAAAATAGCATTTATTCGAGTTCATTTTGTCTGGCACGACGTTGAAGAAAAAGAAAACTGGTTAATTCATGATAAAAATGTCGGTAGATATATATATATATAATATATATATATATATATATATATATTTCTTATTGATATTATATTTTTCATCAAGTTTTACTAAATTTATATTTTTAGAGAGAAAAAATGGCAGGTTTTGTCCCACAAGAATTATTTCATTTATATGGTGATCATTTGATGGGATGTCTTTTTTCGTTATCGTCTTTTCAAGTAGAAAAATTTCACTTCCATGAATACCGGAAATATGAAAAGTATTGTTTCATTTATGGTGATATAAAGATTATTATCAATGAGAAGACACAACTCACTCCGGTAGAGGTGGATTTTCACAATGGATTTCCTTTATATCCATTAGTGTTTCTTATTAAAACAGTTGTGCATGACAGTGTTGTTCGAAAAGTTATAATCGGTACATATAAAACCATACTTATTTTGTGTCATATTAATAATTATATATAATATATATATATATATATATTAGATATATCTATATCTATATATATATCTATATATATATATAATATCTAATTGT